GCCAGTCGCTCAATCGCTCAATCGGAAGGCTGTGTCGTGGCTCCGGCTCAATCAGAGGATTGCAGCCCAGCTAGGTGCTGTTTCATCATCACCCTCCTTCATCATCAACATCATCAGCATCATCGAGACGATGAGGATGCATTGTAGGATGTCGGTAGGGTAGAGTAGGTTAAGTTATATTGTATCATGTAGGCATATATAGGCATATGTATACTCAATTGATCAACCTGTAGGACATACCTACATCATACATGCCTACATGTACCTACATACACAACCACACCCGCAACTGCCGTGAAGCTAGTAACGTACATCATAAACTCTACCCACATATATACCCTACCCTACCGCATTACTTGAAGTAACCTACATACACGCAGCACAGCACATGTAAGCAATTAAGCAGGTAGTTTAAATCGCCTCGTCCGTATTCGCATCTACCGGTAAGGCTGCAGCTAGCTAGCTACTCTAGAGCCTGGCCTGGTCTGGCCTGGCTGGCTGGCTGGCATGTGTTTTTGCCGGTTATGAGAGCAGTAGAGGTTCGTAGATGACGCGTATAGGATCCTACTCTACGAGGTTTTTTTGTGGTAGGCTGTTGATTTTGATATTACGTTATGGGGGGGGATCGGATTTTGGGGGGGGTGTTTGAACTATTACTATAATATGTACATACAGTTACAGCTCTATACTAATATTACTAGAGTCTAGACGCCCTACCACACAGCCAGCCAGCCAGCCAGCCATAGATCTCGCTAATCGCCCGCGCCAATCGAAGCTTCCAGAAAGCAACTCTTTTTCTTCTTCCCCCATGTCAAAAAAAAAAAAAGAAAAAAAGCTAATGCAGGGGAAAAGAAAGAAAAAAAAACTCCTCGAGCCCACAGCACTATAAACTGTGGCTGGGGAGGAGGAAGAGGAGGAAGGGTAACGGCCAGTTAGAGATCGGACTTAATGCACGGCCACGTCGCGGGGGTGAGCGGAGGCTATTGCCATACTGACCGCTGACCGACGGACGGACTGCTACATGGGGGGTGCAAAAAAGCTTAGGAGTTAGTTTATGTAGTTACGGAGGACAGTATAGTAGGGCGTTAGATTAATTGCTTTATAGGTATATAGACAAGTATGTAGTAGGTAGAAGACGGTGATTCCCGGACTAATATAATATGAGCTCTTTGTTTCCCCCTATGATCATCCAAGCTACATACATCCACATTTCCGGAGGGAGACCTGGAAATGCAATCAATGGAGAACGGCGATAACGCCCAGCCATACCCGTGACCGCAAAAGCGGTACCTGCCTCAAAAACCAAAAGCCCTCTTCTGTCTCCTGCAGCTGCTGACGGGTGCCACCTCATCACATGCTTCGACTGGGGGAGGATGTGGAAGTGTTTTTTTCTTCTTCATCTTCGATGATCTGCATTCGATTCTCTTCGCTTATCCCGTGTGTGTCCCCCTTCGACTTCTCCAGCATTACCGCTTTTGGCGGAGAGGCGAGAGCGTCGGGTGGGGTGGCTGGTTTCGTTGGTAAATCTCCGTTGTTACCAGTGGGTGCTACTAGTTGGTACTACTATTGCTTATAATATTTGGAGTAGTACTACTCGAATTACTACATGTAGGTACTACACCGCGTCTGTTAACTGTGATGATGATGACGATGATGATGGTTATGGCGATGTGGGGGACAGGTATATAGAGTAGTTTAAACACGATATACCTACTCTACGTACTCTCCATCTCCAAAATTGCCTCATGCCTCATTCAATCAAGGGTAGAGTAGGTACATGTACGTACGTATCGTACCTCCATCTAGATCTACCACCGCGCGGAAGCCACAACCCAATCCTGCTTGCGGCTCCGTATTCCCTACCGGCCTACTACGGTCTCCAGAGTAGAATACCCCGCTTCTTCCCCCGGAGGCAGAGGCAGAAGGATGAATGGAAGTAGCATCTAGAGCAGGTCTTCTGTGCAGTTGTATGTACGTCTTCCTACCCCTGGCTAAAGAAGCCAAAGAAGGTACACCACCACCAAGGTGCAAGTGTCGCAGGCAAGGCAAGGTACAGGGTAGAGTACCTTAGGGTCGCTAGTTAACTGCTACTACACTACCCCAGCCAAGCAAACCTGATTCGCGCAGCATAAGCGAAGCAGCGGGAGAAATGACAGTTGGCACACCACACCACTACACGTTACGCGTTTAGCTTTAGCGGAGTGTTGCGGAGCGAAGCGGTTGATTACTAACCCTGTCCACCACCACCACCCCACATACACAGACGCACACACACGCCAGCCGCCCAATAGCCGCGCAGTAACCCCCCCCTGCATTTAGCCGTCTGTCTGCACCACAGACGAACCGAACCGAGACGAGCACCGCAGCAGCAGAGCAGACGGCCGTTTCTAGCCTACTCTGCTCTACTGCGGTGAAACATCGCACCGTAGCGTAACCGAGTAGGTAGCGTATGTAAATACAGTAGGCAGCGTAGCGTACTCTACCATCCATCCATCTTGCACACCGCACCCGCACCCACACAAGTTACTCGTAACTATGAATCTATGATTGTAGGCATGCATGCGGTGTGTGGGTGTGTGGCCGGAAGCAAGCAAGAGGGAAAAAAAACGACCTTACCTACCGCTTATTTGCTATCGTTATCATCAGCTGATTTCGCAGCCATGCATGCAGCCCGGCCTTCTTTTCGAACGACAGACAGCAGGTGGAGGGAGGGTGGTAGGGTAGGAGGGCAGAGGAAAAAAATCATCGTGCATCCGCTTTCAGGCCGTTTGATTCGAATTTTTTTTTTTTTTTTTTTTTTTTTTTTTTTTTTTTTTTTACTTTGGTCGTTTCGTTTGTTTGGCTTATATGGGCGACGGCGGAGAGGATGACAGGATGGCAGGTACTCTAGGTAGAGTAGAGCTAGTAGTGCAGTGCAGTGCAGTGCAGTGATCACGCAGCAGTAGCAGGAATTAGCGGCGGGGATCAGAGAGCGAAGGTTACTCTGCTCTGCGATCTTGAATCTCATCGACAAAGCGCACTAGCCAAACAGGCCTGAAGACTTGTGCAAGTTGTAGCTATAGTTAGGGTACGTCGGCCTGGGGCGACTAGCTAGATCAGCGGAGTAGCAGCGCCGGGTTGGCAGTTCGATTTCAAAACTACAGTCTCTAGGACAGAGTATACTATGTATGCCAGTACTCTAGTGTCTACTTTACATACATCCCTAGCGATTCTAAAGTAGTAGCTAGTGGGGTGCATTGGCCCTTCAATTGTAATTGGCATCTAAAGCTGGTTTCTGCCCCTTCGTTCTCTCTTGATACATAGGCGAGCGAATGGACGAGTGATCACGAGTGGACGTGCTCTCTCTCCAGCTACTCATATCGCGATATTAAAAAGTCGTTGAGGCGCTGTCTCGCCTGTCTACCTGCCCAGCTAGCTGCCCACTACCACCAGCCAACCTACTCTACCAACCAACCAGCCCACCAGTCCACCAGCCAATGCCAATATAACCGTGATCTCCATCGCCATCGCCGTCGCCGTCGCCGTCTCCGTCGCTTCAGCCCACCGCCACCATCCGGGGTTGTAGTGGTGGAGGAGGGAGGTAAACTCGCTTTCCCCAGCTTTCTGCCATGCTGCCTTGCCTGCCACGTCGACTTTTCGTTTGGTCGGTCTAGTTTGGTTGGGCCTAGCTCAACAAGCACCATGTTGTAGGAAGTGGTTTAGTTGCTGTGGTGGTTTGGTTAGCATTAGTCTGTGCAGTTGGGCTTGGTTAGTTGCAGTTAGCTAGTTAGCGGGCCACACACACACACCGCAGGCAGACAAGCAGGCAAGCAAGCAAGCCTGGCAGGAGAGAGGAGGAAAGCCAGAATTAGACCGTTGATGTGAGTGAGATCTGCCACTAATATCTGCTCTGCGCACGTGGGAACGAGCATGGGTGTTGATGTGGTGTGTGGTGATCAGCGGCCGGCTGGTGTGGGATTGAGTGACTCTCGAGGCACAACACAAGAAATCAAATACATACATACATGTACTAAAAGTCACTTTTGTTGCCCGCGCACTATGGGGGTAGGGAGATCCAAGAAAAGAAACCCCCTCCACTCCCTCCTCCTCCCCGCTCCCCGCCACCCCCTCTGCCTCTCCCCCGCGATTGATGATGATGAATGCACTATGGATGATTCCAAAATATTAAAGATGACGACTTCTTCCTTTTAATTTTTTTCCCTCCCCCTCCTCTGATCTCTTCATCCTTCCTTTCTTCCTCCCCCCATGACACCGACGGAATTTTGGCCCCCAAACCGGACCCCTCTTTCCTGCGGTTTTTTTTATAAACAACAGATATTGTAACTCCCGCGCTTAAAACATGTAATGCAGATCAGAAAAAACAGATGTCATAGAGAAACAAAAATAAAAAAAACTCCTTCTCCGTTAAACCCCCGCCTCTCTCTCTCTTCCTTCCCCCCCCAATTTCCCGGACCCTAGATTCAATACTCACAATTGAAGAAAAAGAAGAAAAAAGGGGAAAGAACACCGGTATAACTATAACTATAAAACACGGAAATTAAGTAAAAGAGATACAGAAATAGAAAGATGATATCGTATTAATCCGGCTTTCTCCTCCTCTCCCCCCCCAATCCTCCCGCGGGCTGGCTGCTGAAAAGGACGTGGGAGAAAGAAAAGAAAAGAAATCTGGTGCCGACGACAGACAAGGCAAAAAGGCAGGTCAGGGCGGTAACAAATTGGATCCCCATAAGACCAGCCTCCGTCGATTCCTCCGATGAAGAAATAAAACAAATTTGCGAAGGGGAAAAAATAAAATAAAAAAATAAAAAAAACGCCGCATACAATCTGATCTATAATTTCGAACCGTTAGCTATTTTCCCGTCGTGATATTTTCCTCTCTGCAGAATTCTTTTCCCAACATACCAAATCAACCCAAGACGCCCGTTACACCGCATCTAACAATCTCCCTTCTCTCTCTCCTTCTCTCCCGCCCTTCCATCCCCCATTGGCCGTAACAGTATCTATGATGATGCAGCCTGTTTCGCGGCCTCCTCCTCTTCGCAGTCGTCGCATTCGTATTCGTGGTCGAGCTCTTTCTCTTTATATACAGAGCACTTGCCGTTTGCGGTTCTTGAGTTTGCGCACGTGACTGTGGAGGTTGTGTAGTGGCCGCATGTGTAGATGTGTGTGAATCGGGTGCACATTTTGAATTTGGGGGGGCTGTTATTTTCGTGGGAGTAGATAGTGCAAGTAACAAGTATCGGTAGTGGATAGTACTAGTAGTGGTGGTGGTATTGATAATAGGTAGTGGTATTGGTAGTAGATAGTAGCAGTAATAATTGTAGCAATAGCAGCAGCAGTAGCAGTAGCAGCAGTAGTAGTAGTAGCAATTAAGTCGTTAGATATAGATCTCGGGGGTGCTATTTTCGTGACGTAATAATCCAGAAAAGCAATACACTCGGATCAGGTCCTTTCTCGAGATGCTGCTTCCAATGTTTAAGCTGAGACGGCAAATTGAGAGAGGTATCGCACTTGGAGGTGCAAGACCGACTTTATAGATTGCGAGGTTGAAAGGTTGAACCGCAAGTAGGCTGGCCTGGTATGGTAGGTCAGGGGGAATCAAGCAGCAAGCAGTAACAAGGGTGGTGGCAGATCGCCCGGGAGCACAGATGCCCTGGTGCTAGCAGACTAGTGTGCAGTTGTGCAGTTGCAGGCCAAAAGTGGAGACACAGCGAGTGAGGGATGTGCGATAATTTGATAGGTCAAGAGGTTCCTTCACCGAAAAGGGAGGCGGAAATCCTTTGTGCCAAAAGAAATAAAGCAAAAAATAAATAAGAAAAAGGTCTCGGAGCTTCTATCAGTACCTGTAGCGTAGCGTAGTATGTAGTAATATAATAGTAGTAGCAGCAGCGGGAAATATTTAATCTCAAATCTAGCAGCTATCTTACCTACTACTCTTGGCTAGTTATACTGTACTGAGCTGGTGATAGTGAGTATTGAAGTCGAAGATATGGGGCGGAATGGGGGATCCCGCGTAACCCTTTTATACTGTGAGGGTTTCGAGGAGAATCCCGAGTTCGCGGACCCGGCCCGTAATAGGTCATGATAATTGGTTTTTGTTTCGAACTATTCGTTTTCAACAAAGAGAATTTCGAAGGGAAGGGAAAGCTAGGGAAGGAAAGAAAGTGCGAAAGAAAAAAAAAAAAAAATGCGTATAATAGAAGATGATGCGTCTAGTGACCGGCCTATCCGTGCCTCTGGGACGTACGGTTGTGGATGGAATGGATGGATGCGGATGAAGAGGTTGAGCAAATCAAGCGATTGCAGGCCGACACATAGGACGGTACGATATACGTACATATCTTTTTCGGGCATCTCTTTACCCCCATTTACGCATAAACCAGAATGAAGAAGGGAAAGAAAGAAAAAAACCTTGAACTTAGACCACCCCGTCGAATTGATCGATAGAGTACATGTACAGATTATGTACATGCTCTACATACTCCATGTACCTACCTAGACTTCCATCTCCTGGTTCACCTATCTATCGTGCTAGAGTGGGTATGTCGAGCTCACCGTGAAACATGCGTTCGTCTATCATCAAAAAGAGATCCATGATCCAGCCATATGTGCATACATCAGATCAGTCAAGTTTACTAGCTAGCTACTGCCACTCGTCTCATGTTTGTCTGCCTTCCTTCCTTTATTTGCCTAGGTGGAGCACTGCCTATGTAGGTACATGAGCCTACACACATGATCTTACAGGTATGTACTTAGACGAATTTTTTTTTGTGTGTGGGGGCTGGAGGTCTGGATCTTTTATGCCCAGCTAACACAACGATCAAGCCATAACCACAGCAAGAAGCAGCTTTACCTGATTGAAGCATCAGCCAACAACGACAATGCCGATTCGGCTATTGCAACGGAGTAGGGATACATACGCGCATCAGGGCACTCTCGACCAACGAAAGAACAAAGGAAAAAACAGGCAGAGTTTTTTCTCTCGTGTATAGCAAACACATCGATTATAACCAGCGTACTGGAAGACCTTATGGTTGGGGAGGATGAAGAAGAGGTTGAGGAAAGTCGAGTAGAAGGGATAATACATGGTATGCACCCATCACCCGAATCAAGACTCTTACAGCAACAGTTGTCGTCGAGTCTCTTGCTATTACGGGTCGATCTTAGCCGTTTTACACATCTTTTTTTTCCATCTTTCTTTACTTTTTTACATGCGCAGGAGGAGAATACCTAGGAACTGCGGTTATCGAGCAATCAACAGGCAAGGCGTGAATTAGACGCCGCATGTATCTCTCGTGGATTTTGTCCCAAGGGGGTAATCCACACCGCTAATCAACGGTCGTCTAGAGGTCCCTCATCGGCGCGCACGGGAGAGGAACGGAGGCTGAACCACAACCACCACCATCGATCGTTGCCGAGAGCTGGAGTCAAACACGATCTTAAATGAGCCCTGGCTGGCTAGCCTCGCTACTCTCTGAAGATATCAAAAACCCAACTTTCGATCAGACCTCGGAGAAATAAAATAAGGATTCCCCAATGGAGGAGTACAAAAGTTGGGTTTGGCGGGGGTGCGGGGGAGGGTCCAATTGAATTGATCCAGATCAATCAAAGCCGCCCTTAATTTTTGCTTCCCCCACGGACTTTGCGCAGGGCAGGTTACTCTACTCGTACATGCATATGGACGTAAGTGTCCGTCTTGCGTGTGTAAAGTAGAGTACACACAATCCCATAATTCGCCGGTAGAATTGGAACAGCTTCGAGAATCAGCAGTGCTCGTCTGGGCAATATTTCCACAACCATCCGACGTCTGAGATCAGCCTCTACAGCTGTTGTTGTTGTTCAATGGATGGCAGAGTAGACTTGCATGTAGGCCTAGAGCCTTACTTTACCTTGGGGTGTTTCGGTCGCATCCCTCATCCTGACTACGTATGGTTGAAAACAAATCACCATCTTGCGTTGTTGCAACGTTGGCGAACGACCAGGACCGCCAAACAAAGTAACGGCCAATGATCACTCGATGCTGGGGCCCTCATCATATGCAGCACAGTTCTCAACAAGATGTACGTATGTACATCTCATGTATCAGCCATCCACCTACTCTACCGACCTGTACCTTGAATACGTATGTGTACATAAACAACCCCCTCCTCTCTCTGTAAACGTTAACGCCGGCCATCGGCATCCTGTGGCTACTGTGCTCTCACTTATCAACTATCTCTCTATCGTGCAGTAGCATCACTGGCAGAGCCATAATTCCTCGGTTGCTTGGTTGCATGCAGTTGCGCCGCAAAAACATCAATGCGAGTCATTAAATTCGGCTGATTATGTATCTTGCAGATCATCACTCGAATTGAAGAGAAAAAATTGTTCCAGGGTATATCTGAGCATAAGACCAACAAAGCTCTCTTTTTTTTTTTACCTCTTTCCACCGGCGACCTCGTGATAATTAATTCAGAAGTATGTAATGTATGTAGCTAGGTGGATAGGTAGGTCCAGGCCAGTAGTCAGGCAGGTAAGCAGGCAAGCAGGTTATAGGTAAATAGGTAGGTTGAGCATGAGGGAGGCCTCCTACAAACAAATCTGTACTTACATACAGTATGTATAAGTGGTCTCGAAAACAATATCGATATTATCACGAGGCATGGCATGATGTTGTTGTTGCTGAGGTCTAGCTGTCCTATGATCCAGCTGACTACCAGATCGGGATTGTGGTACAAACAAATATATATATCAACGACCTAAGAGAAGAGAGACGCATACATGTACATATTTCTTTACTTACTCTACAGTAACTTACACTGTAGGCAGAATACTCTAAGCGTACTTGTACCCCCCATGTAGTCAAGTGCGTAAAGTACATGCACACCATTACCGGGCTACACACTGTACCCTACTGAACTCGAAAACATCGATGACACTGCACTACATAGAACTCCTCCAACATTTCAATATCCCCATACCAAATCCACGTGCTTTTCTGTTTCGGAACGTCCATGGAGACACAGCATACAACATCGTCATACCCCAGCTTTCTTTCGTTTCCTCTTCCTCTTCTAGCTTCTCGGTACTATAACTTATTTTCTATACTATAATAAAATCGGCCAATATTAATTAATTTCACAAACAAAAATAATAAAATAAAATAAAAATAAAATAAAAAAGCTAAAAAAAAACACATATCCAAAAAGTAACCCTTTCCAAAAAGGAACACATTCGCAGCTTTCAAACACCACCACTGCCATTGGCTGGCTACATCATTACACATATACGAACAAGAAGAAGAAAAGAGAACTGTTGTTCCGAATTCCCGGGAGTTATTGCTAGAGCTATCATAGTATCATAGAAGGAGAAAATGCATCGTGTCCTTAACATTTTTTTCTTGGACGACGCCCAGTAGCTACAGTATGCACTCGGTATGTCAGATCCTCAACGTATTTGAAACCGCTCTTTTCTTCCCTCACCCCTCCCCAGCACGAACAGAACAAAAAGCAAACCACAGCTTGGCTTGCAATTGCTGGGAGGGTAAAACAATTGTACATATTCCACCACAACCACCCCCTTCCCTACTGATATGCAGACGGCGAAAAAAGCTCGTCGCCTCCCTCCTCCTCCTCCGGGGAACTAACTAGCTACATGCTTGTGTGGAGAGGAAGTTGAGTTTCTTGTGCGACATGGGTATATGTGTGTGTTTTTTGTGTAGACGGCGAGCAGGCCCATCAGATAACGTGGGTGCCTGCCGTTAGTAATGTTGATCTCCATATTGGGCGGTATCTGGAGTGAAGGGAGTAGGCCCTGGAGGTGGCGATCTTAAGGGCGTTTTTTTTCATCTGGGTTTTTTTTTTTCAAAGGGTTATGCAATTTACACAGACGGATTGCTTAGAGTGATCGTGAAGTTTTCTGATTCGAGGTTCGAGATTACATACACTGTTAGTAGCTAGTGAGTAGACACTGTTTTGAACGCCCCCTCGATTCATGGCTTTTGCTTGAGAGTGTGTCTGAGGAGTACATTGACTCTCGTTTGATCCCCGTTCAGTCAAATTATCCACCCCCCTGTGGGAGCTAGCTAGAGTAGAGTAGAGGATATACGATACCCTGCAATGGAGCCAACAGTAGCTGAAGACAAATAAGAAAGCTGCCCGAGTACCTATAGTCGGTCCGTTCTCGGGCACTCCGCAATCTCTAACCGAGCAGTAGTCAGTCATGAGCATCCTGTGGTACGAGCTCTGAATCTTCGCCTGTTTCTAAGTGTGTTGTTGTTGACCTCTATTAATATTTGCCATCTGGCTAACTAGATACCGTATCGTCTTATGATCGCCCACCCGCCATTGTGAGCGACGAGCGAGTGCGCGCGGAACCTGCAACGCTGTGCTACTCGACTATCTAAAGGGCTGTGAAGATTTCCCCGGATAGAGCCACTCATGCAGTGACCATCAACAGAAAGGGGAGTGGTGAGTAAGAGCTGCTAGAGAACTCGCTACACAGCTAGGCAGTCCAGTTAGTTTGTGAGAGCCTGGTGATGATAACGGATCTGCTACAAGTTAGTTAGTTTTTAGTTTATCTGCACTCACACTCACACACTCACACTCACGCACGTACGTTTAATATTCAACGCGGAATTATATTAGCGAGGAACAGTCACGGGAGACACCTCCCTCCCCTCCCCTCCCCATCTGTATGCATCTGGAGATTTAAATTTGGTGATGCATGTACCGGACGTTGGGATATGGAGTGAGGAGGGTCGTCTGGTCTGGTCTAGTCTGTGTGTGTTGTGGGGATGTGTGCGGATGTGGATGTGGAAAAGTGTGTGTGCAATGTCACGCAACGTACGTGCAACGTTTCTTCTACTGAGACATCGCGGCCCATGACGTGATGTTGTTGAACCTGAACCGTACTACCATCGCTCGCGATTCCGTTTGATCTCCATGCCCTTCCCTCTTTTACAAGCGCCGTTGGAGGAGGAGGAGGAGGAAGAGGAGGGGGGGGGTTATGGCTTGCGTCGAGGTTTACTCATACCATGGGTGCGGTGTTGCAATGTTGGTACGGTTGGGGCACATCACCTGGTCGAGTGATGTGCTGTGATTGAACTACTTAGTTGTTTTGTTGCTAAGCACAGTGCTAACTCTAAGCAGCTGCTGACCACAACAGCAACAACAACACCACGCTGCTCTCCTCTACTCAATCTCAATATGCAACCAACTAACCCATATTTACTCCACGAGTCTAATTGCTTGGGGGTCCTGTCTGTCTGACTTGGTTTCTCTCCTAGACCTTAGCTACTGCTACATACATAATATGTACCTACATCCATCCACAGCTAGAGTAGCACTCCAAACAAGCTAGCTAGCGAAGAAGTCTCGTCTCCAAATTTCTTTTTCGCCCACGCTGGCTGTGCGGTGCGGCCAGTGTGTCAAGCTGCTACCGGGCACCCTAAACGGTAGGTCCACGCGTGATCTTCGAATCCCCGGTACTGAATATCTGGGGAGAAGAGGGGATGGGGGAAAGAAAGAAAGCTAGAGTACATGTATGTCTCTTTCTCCCACAACCACATCGACTCCCCACTTCTCCTCCGCCTCGACCTCATCTGCCTGCCTCACCAGCTTTGAGATAGATCTAGATCTAGATGGATTCTCCGGCCGAGTTAAAGCCGCACATGTGTTAGTAGGGTTAGTAGAGCAGCTACTATTAATTAGCACTCAAATAAGAAACTGCTACTAACTACTACTCTCCCCAGTACGCCGTCGGGGAAATCTCCCCTCTCCCCCTCTAATCTACTCTTATGCAGGTCGAGATTTACAGGCGAGCCTAGAAAGCCAAAAAAAAAAAAAAAAAAAAAAGAGGGGTACATACACACATGCGTGCATGTCTTACGCTACTTTTCTCTTTAAGGTTTTTTTTTCTCCTCTTCCCTTATTTCTTTTCTCTTTGATTTAGTAGGAACGGGCGGGAACTAAGGGGATGGTACTGTTTTTGTTTTTCTCTTCGATCCCTCCCCCCTTCCTTCCTTCCTTCCTTCCTTCTTTCTTTTTCGTACCTGCTTTTCTACCCCAACTACATGTAGTAGAGCCCGGCCAGCCAGGTACAGTAAGTAAGTAAGATTAAAACCTAGGGTTTTCCTCTCGTGGAGTAGATGGGTGGGTCTAGAACCGCCGTTGGAAGTGGCCAATTGTTTGACGAGTCTAGCTACATAGAGAACATCCACAAGTAATGTAATACAAGCTAGCTACTCTAGATGTGCATCAGTAGCCACATATCGCATCCCAACGGGCGCTTGGCCGCGCGAGAGAAGGTCATACAAAACCCTTCACAAAATAGTAACCTAGCAAGAAAGCAATAACAAGAAAAAGACATCACCATCTCCGAGGTTATCCCGTGAACTAGGGAATTCCTTACAACTGGAGTAATTACTTGCAAAAGTAACGTGATGGACGAACTTTCCGAGCCTCCGTCCGACGTTGTCTTATTGCAAAACATGCAAGAACGAATGAGCGGAGCAACTCAATGTCTTAGCAACCCCCCCAGGACAGGGCAGAGCTCCAAAGCAAGCAACCTTTTCCCACTACTGGCACAACCTAAGACACCGGAACCTCGGTGGTATGATCAGAGGAACCATACAGATCCTACTCCTTTTTTTTTTTCTCAACGCAAATCTGCCAATACGAGATCCGGCAAGCACTCCGAAATCTGATATCCTGCTTGCTGGCTAACTAATACCTCAACGAAGGAGAAAAAGAAATGTTTAGCTAGGTACTACTAGTTATGTGCCCTATCTTCAATGTGCGATATTTACATACTGGTTATGATCGCCTTCATGGGAGTTTATCGCAGCCGGCCGTGGTTTACATGCATGATGGGGCCCTGGTATCTAATCTGGCCAAATATTGTTCTTTACCAGGTCCAGGCTTTAGAAACCAAGGATCTCATCAGCTGGATGTTATCCAAATAACCCTGATTTTCTCTCTTAAACTACCCTGCATATCCTCTTTGATTACTTACTATGTACTGAAAATTTTCACTGTTTCGTTGCTAGTAGTTAGTCGTAAAGGAAACGGCACAGTCATCCATCCACTTCCACCACCGTCCTCACGTCCGATGGCGTGTTCCTAGAGATGTTGCAATTGCTCCACCACTTTTCTTCCTTGCTACTAGGAACTCCATGTACTCCACTTTACGTATGCTAAAATTTTCGGTAGAACTGATGTCTGGATCTTTTGCCAATCAGCCTAGCCTGCAAGGTCCCGAAAAGAAAAGGAAAAAGGGAAAAGAAGAAAAAATGCACCACTTATGGCGCGGAACTTGCCTAACAAAAACTGAAACCCCCACATTGTAGCCCTTTTATGTTATGTCATCCTGCCCTGCACTTGGACATCTTTGATCTTCCCTGTCGATCCAAGTACGTACGAGTACATATCATATACATGAAAAAACTCCAAGTATTTATAAAATTGAGGCTGTCTACCTAACTACCCCCCAGCCCGACTGTAACCGGGAATACTGTCCATGACCCCGCATATATAACCGTATTTTTTCTGTTATATACCCAGTCGACAGCTGTACTGTAAACGTTATTACCGTATTTACCGCACCATCCTAGCTAGCCAGGCGCTTTATTCGGAGAAGCCCGTTGGTTGGCTGGCCCCGCACCGGATTGTACCGCTGCCGCATTAGCCCCAGGATGTTGACGGTATCTTCTGAGAAGCATAAGTGTTGTCACTGCAGGCCTTAATCACCAGCCCGATGTTTTCTTGTCGATCCTCTCTTATCAGTAACGGTGTTTACCTCCTGGCTCATAAAAGCCACCTTTCAGTCTCTTGCCAGACCAATAACTCGGTACTCATTTGAGTTTGCATACTCAGGTGATTGATCCCTACACAGTTGCGCGTGCCAAGTGATACTGATAGCAAGCCATCCCATCAACTATATCAAACTGGTTTTATGCGTACAAAAGTAATGACACGGTATCCTTTAGGTTTTGTGCAGTGATACAATATGTATCTCAGGGTAAAGTTGAAGTTCTCGCCCACGTTTCTTTTGTCCGGTGGCAATCAAATTGTGTTTGGTAAAAAATGCCGAAATATATGGCGTTGCTAGAGGAGGTAGTGTCTCTATCACGTGATAGGACGTCAATGCCGTTCTAAATCCTGTGCCACTTATGAGTGTTGGGATAGATACTGTATCCTCCGGTAGCAGAACGGGCGAGCGAAATGCGTGAATTGAAGTGTAATTGTAGTTCTGCAGCTGTTAAATGAATAGGATGAGCGATAATGTTGTAGACTGAAAGGACGCCGGTCAATGTACATAGCACTTTGCTACGCTGCACCATCATTTAAACACATAGGTTAGTTGATCTTCGAGAACCGTGTCCTATACGCGTCACACTATCCGGAGACATGGCCATGACTCCGATACATCTCTTTAACAGAGTAGAATGGCAACAGCTTCGCATGAAGATAGCAGTAAAGTTCGTTGTGTGTAAAGGCACTGCGGTAGTCATTTCCTATTACATATTTCAGCCAGCTACAATTATAAAAAAAATTCCTGCAAATTGAAAAGCAAATAAAACTCCATGCCCTCCGTATTAGTTTCGACAAAGGTCATTCTCTAATATTCGTAAGCTCTTGAATATATGTACTTTTAAGGAGGTACGCCGAGCAAAATACTTTGTGAGATAGAAAAATTTCATAATGCCAATCTTGAGTCTATACCACATGGTATTCGCATCAAATAATGCCATACAATGACTTTAACTCCAACAATCTCTTTCACGATCGTACCCAATGAGGTTCAAGTCGATGTTAAGTGTCTTCAGCATAACTTCCATTGTAAACTATCCGCTGTCTATCAGTCGAAGTATTCTATAAATTTATCTCAGTGAAAGAACTTGATTAGTCAACATACTTCATCGTCTTCCTCTTGTTCAATTGGTCTCTGCTCAGCCTCCTGTGGCTTTTCATCATCGCCCCATGGATTTTTCGGCCTAAGCATCTCTTTCCAACCTCCAGAACTACCCATGTTACTGACTCTCTCACTTGCATACTCAAAAAGCACATCAGCAGCACCTCTTGCAGCACCTCTCCACTTCTCAATCAATTCCTCCAATTTTTCATCAGAATCTTCATATTCCGCTGATTCAATCTTCACAGCTTGAAGAGCTGTATCAAGCGACGCCTTCTTAGAGCGAAGAGTTGCTTCTAGTTGTGACTGCTGCTTGTAGAGTGCTGCAAGTTCTGGATCAATTGGTTGCTTGGCGAATGACAGCGGCCTACTACGGGGGACCAGTGTAGGTATTTTTCGAGCTTTAGATGCAACTACTGGGGTTGGTGATTGCGGCTCTTCGGGGGCCTTTGGTGGGGTTCTATTGCTCGATGGTTTCCGACCTGATAATAAGGGTGAACGGAAAGGTTTCGAGAGGGTGTTTGTAGCTACATTGAGACGACGACGCTTGGTTTCTTGGGCTATTGATTGAGGGTCAAGTGAGCGCTTAGATGCCGGTGTCTTTGTGGGATTAGCAATGGTGATGTTGTTTTCAGAGCCGGTTTCTACCATCGCGATGGTTGCCAGTGTTGATGTTTAGAGGTTGAGGTTTCATGTGATGTGACGAAATGTTGTGCCAAGACGTCTTATCGATAAGGAAAAAGTACCATGTCGTGCTGTTACGCGTCCGTCCCCCTTGAGACTTCTTCAATCACAGGTCCAGCTCGGCATTATGATTCAGATAAGTTAAACTAAACTTATTAGATCTTCCAACCGTTTATGCGAATCAAACTCAGAATTCGTACGATTCATCTGTATGATTCAATGTCATTTCTTAACTCTCGCTCGCTTCACAATCGATCACTCGCGGATAAATACAGCCAGCGACCAACAAAAGCAATCCCCCGGGGCAAAATTTTGCTACGAAGCCCTCTTGTTGTCACTGCAAGTATTTAAAAGTCCCCACGGTCTCGGCCCCACGTGTACCCTTACTTTGGTGGCCCCGATCCGAGACATAGATTTCCATCCCCTCCATGTTCATTGGCGGGGCCTTCCCATCTGTGTGCTATCTCTTGTCCGGACACCCACCACTCTTATCTCTCTCAGGTGACAGAAAGATGCAACAAATAAGGCAACGTATTCCCCTGTCATGCGTTCTGCAATCCAGCTACATACTTCCGCTGATTGCGAGTAATTGCAGGTTCGCGCCCAATGATGATCATCAAGGACATTTTGATCAGCTGAGCAAGTACCTCTTTCGAATTAATCAGTGTCCAACTTGTCATATTCTCATCTATGTGAAAGTTTTTTCCTCGGGGATGGGTAGTCAATATTCCCGGACGGCAAAGCATGACGGCGTTCTTCAGTTTCATTGGAGTTAGCCATCGCCACAATTCAGCTGAGAAATTTTACGGGGATCTTATGCTGCTTCGATCTCGCATCACCGATTGACTGCATTCTAAAGTGTCTGCCTTCTTGGTTGTGTCTGGTGGCGACATCTGGGATCGGTTCCATGGATTATCCGATGCACTGTCGTATTTTGTGACGGACCTTAACAGCTGGCTCTATTATCATGTTATGATCGAGATGCCCTCACTGCCAATAGCACCTCTTTCAGTGCAGTTTGAACCGGGATACTAACGGAATTGGATAAAAACCACCATGCATAAAGTGCAAATATTATGGACCCACACTTTTGAAACCCAGGTTCAATTGGAAGGGAAATAGGTCCGCACAAAAAGAAACCAAGATAGTTGAAGAGCACGTGGGGTTTTAATTACTTCCTTGAAGTATCGGGGACAATCCAGAGATGTCGGTTCATGCTCTGAAACTCGATATACCGCCATAACTCGAAAAATTTGCTAGATCAAAATTACTTCTATGGGAAACTTCTTATGCAGATCGATGCCATTCAACCAATCACTCGAATGGTAATCCCTGAACAGAGATAGCCAATTTTTCGACTTTTGGCGGTATCACATATCTCTTGGACGTAGTGCTAGTTTCCGGTCATGTTGTGTATTGTATTGGTTGATCGTATCGAGAAACATACCCTAGATGGGGTGTTTTCATATGCATGTGCATCGAGGAATCTCTAAACGGCCCCAGCAATTTGCTTTTGGTCAGTGCTTGGCATGATGAAGGCCAACAGTTAGCATTATCGGGCTTGGTACACACTGATGCAGTCTGAAACGCTCAAGTACAAACAGGCCAGTGCATATTCTCAAGTCCTTGAGTGGCAAATGGAGTCATTTAAGATCACTCGATTGAGCTAAATTGGATATTACTCTACTGCCAAAGGGCAATTCGTACGAATAGACCCTTTGCCGCGCGCCGCGCGCCGCCCCAGTCGCCATACCAAGGCTCGTTTGTTTAGAGAACGAGCTACTCTGGTTTTGATTGGTTGGAATACGCGCATATGTCTACCTGTCTTCATCGTAGAAACACTGACGTAATTGAAGGGTTACGAGAGAACACTTTACCTCTAGGCATATATGTATTTATCACTCTCGAAAACCTGGAGTCCCTGCCCAAGAAAACATAAGCAGTTGAAAGAAACGTCTACCTCTGAGAGAAAAGGAAGTAAACCAAGCTAAAACAAGCCAGTTCCGATAATGAAAGTAGAACTTCTCGAATTCAATATTCATCAAACCTTTTTCGGTGACTCTCGGCTAGGACTGAAGTAGATATGGGATAAGTGGTGTACTATTAGGACAGGCCCCTTCGCCTCAAATCAAGAGGTCCTTGTTAATCAAGCTTGTTCTACTTTGAACTCCGCTATACCACTACTCTTAAGTATGACTTTCCCAGCATAATATTAAGCTATCACTCTAACCATTCATCATTGAATACCTTAATGGGGTGGCGGAAGTTCACAATACATGTAACGGCGTAATTACGGGACTGTTCCGCATTTCTAATTCTCCATAGTGAATAGGACACGTAAAGAAATATGAAAGGACCCACTTCTTCAGCCCCACCGAAGTAACTAGGACAGAATAGGAAGCACGTCAACTGAAGGCAGCGATTAATACGGTGAAACTATGTGTGTGATAATCAGAAGTGCAGGAAGCAGCCAGTTAAAGCTAAAATAGTGCCTATAGATTTAAAATTCAGTATCTCTCGTATATTTACATTACTAAGGTAGTTTTTACCCACATGATATATGCTCAGATCTCGGAGTGTTGGGTTTTGAATGATAATCACAGTATATCACTCGTTATAGTTAGCTGACCTAATGCGGTTTAATATGGAAGGGATTGATTGATTCATTAATTCGAATATAGAAGGGAAATAAGTGTGAATTCCTCTCGGACTCTGGCATCGTTTTCAAAACTACATGTAGCTGTCTTTTCCTTTTGCAATGCTTCGCTTCCGTGAGCGCGAAATGAAGTAATCAATCAATCAATTAATCAATCCGTGAGCGCGAACTTCTCGTTTACAGTAAGTAATAGAAAATTATGGAACCAAAGTTGGTAGGAGAACTGTGGAACCTGATGCTAACTGATTATGAAAGTTACTGGAGTTGTTTCTATGGAATACTTGGATAGGAAGGTAATAGTTTTAAGGTTCCTCATCTGGCTTGCTGATGTTTTTCGTACTACCTAGTATCTATAAGAACTAAAAATGTTAGCTAGTATGGGAATGTGCGTGCGTGACCCTAGAACTTCCAAGTACACACAACGGTAGACGAATAACCTGCTATTTACAAGAGTTCTAAATAGAATATGTATTCACCTAGTAAAGGTTTCTGGTATTCATGGTGTCTGCTTGCGTTTGATGTTGCAATAATACATGTAGTCTATTGTTTTTTAAACGAATTGATCCACTTGAATGGATTACTCTCGATACTGCACGAGGAAATTTTATTATCGGTTGAAGAGACATCAAGAAAAATTCGAATCATAAAGGGTCACTCAGCATTTTGGATCATAAGGAATCACTCAGCTTTCGTAGCACACTTGTTACCGTCATCATGAATAAGGCTGCAGGGTTAGGGTTACATGCGGCAATTTCCGTCTAGAAAAAACTCTAGGTCCGGGCTGCATGTAACTCAACTGACTATTTACTGTAGGTAATCCACCAAGAAAAGATGCCCCAAATTCTCAATTCCACTTCTAGCTCAAATCTATCATGTCCCGAGGGGACTTATATTTACAATTTTGCGCCAGCAAATCCCGACTCCCTCGGTGCAATATGCTCAGACGACTCGCTCCGACTGTTCTCGCCCGAAACGCTGGCGCTGCAGAGAACTTTTGGTAAAATACACGACGGTGTAAGATGTTTGAAAGCTGTGGATACGAATATACTGGCGACAGCTGGATTGGACGGAGCTGTGAGGGTTTGGGATGTGAGGTCACAAGCGGACAAGCCGGGTATAGTTTATAAGAATGGTGAGATCCCCACGGAGCTCCAGCTTTGGTGATAGCTATTAACTAAGTAATACAGTCTCGAATGCTTCAGTTCTAAGTTTGGCGATCAATGCGGGGGCAAATGTGTTGGCTGGGGGAACTGAACTCGTGGAGGGCAGTCGCATCGCGAGAGTCATAATATGGTTTCTCCCCTTACTACACATTATATCACTCAAGGAAGAGTACTAAATGCGCAGAGTAAAGGGATCTTAGAACTGCGGATACAAAAGTGCAGTATACAGAATCACATAACGACGATGTAACAGAGTTACAATTCCATCCCACCATGCCACACATATTATTAAGTGGGTCAACAGACGCATTGGTGAATATGTACAACCTGCTCACCCCACCATCTACGACCAAAACTACACCCGACGATGATGTGGACGAAGCACTGTACCAGGTCATCAACCATGGATATCCCATTCACCACGCCGGGTTCCTGACCCCATCAAATGATATCTACGCGCTATCGGATGACCAGAATTTGGGAATGTATAAATTCGTTACAGAGATTCCAGATGATGAGGAAAAGGTGTTAGAAGAAGCAGAAACTAGGAGTTTTGGTGATCTGAGGCCAGGTTTGGGGTGCGACTACATAGTCGATGTTGTGCAGCATAAGGCTGGCGGTGGACTGATAGTTGCTGGAAGCAATAGCAACCAATGGTTGGATTTGATACCACTTAGAAAAGCAGGCGAAAACATTGGTGGATGGCATATGGTGGGAGAGAATGGAGTAAGACTTAATGGAGGGCATGGTGAAGAGGTTGTGCGGGGTATATATTTGGATGACAAGGTTAGTTTTATTCCTTTTCATTTGCTAATTCCTACATGTATTTTGCCACTCATATATTGAGACGTTTTCACTGCTAACGAGGGTTTCCTTATAGCTGGGAACAATATACACTGGAGGTGAAGATGGCCTCGTGAAGGTTTGGAAAGAACCAACCCGGGGAGACTCGGATGTTGCCTCAACAAAAAAGGAGAAAGCCGAGAAGAAACGGCTGAAAGAAGAGCGGAAAGAGAAGAAAGAAGCCAAAGCGCGATACAAGCCTTATTAGCTATCCCAGAGAAATATTAAGGGAACAAAGAAATAATAATACAATCCAGCCGTAGATGGCATTTCTACAACATTTTTCAAGAATCGATAAATCAGGAACAGGGAGTGTTGTTCATGGTGAAGTGGCCACGTTTTGGCAGAAGTGGCTGCCCGTTGTGGTTGTGGCATCTCATGTTATCCGGGTTTGCGTGATAGCAACCGCTGCGACTTCTTTCCACGTAGACCTCTTCTCCTTCATAATTCGCCTCATCTGTCCAACGTTGATGACCTGCTACGTTTCGCTTTTCCTCCAGAGATAGTCTGATTCACAGCGAGAGAGTAATTCTCCTCGTACCTTTCATTCTTTCCATTTGTTCACGTTCCTGGGTGGTGGAAGTAACCAGCCATGCAGCGGAAGTGTAGATCGCGAATATGGATGTTTCTTGGTATGTACGGTGGCTTCCTTCAACCCCACCACCACCTCATGCTGATAAACCCCGCCGAGCTGCCCAGGTGTGCTATGTATGCTTGCTGTTTCCGCAACAGCTCAACGAGATCGAAGTGAACCATTGGTCGCCCTCCAGGGGCGCCATGTTCAGGAATCATTACAAGAACTCTCTACCCCCGAAGACGTCGAGGGATCCGATCCTCAAAGTAGCCCCACCTATCCATTTTGACGAGACTATGCAGTGATTAAACGAGTTGCGTTCTCAGAAATACAGGCGGAAGCCCTCGTCCACGAAGCTCTAACCATCCTCCGAACCCTCGACCCGACCCCCATACGATCGCAAATAGGGACGACTGAAGCATCACGATTGAATCTCTACGGGAAGGTGTTATATTATGCGAAGAAGGTAGCGACAGTGATCTTGGTGCACAACCCGGCGTCTCTAGAGGAGCCCGTCGATGCCCCGCCAAAGAAAGCTGCACCAGTGGGCGGGACAGGATTATTCGGGAAAAAGTTAAGGGCTGCAGTTGAAAAGTTGGAGGCCGCAAGAGAAATCGGGAAGAATGAGGATGCGATGTATTTGTTGGCGCAAATGAACTTCGTATGTTTACTTTCAATAGGACTGCGGGAGAATTTGGGGCTGATTAGCGTTACTAGTACGGAAATTGGTCACATCCTAGGAACTATCCTCTTGCCTTTACAAGATATAAGGAGCTTGCAGACTTGTCTGGAAACGCGACAGCCCAAAGCGTAGTTGGTTTCATGTATGCTACTGGCATTGGTGGCTCTGTCGAGAGAGACCAAGCAAAGGTATGGTGGATAGAGCTCGTATATGTACTCTTTTGAGCTTTGATATTAACTAGATACAGGCTCTACTATACCACACATTTGCCGCCTTAAACGGTGATAGCCGCTCGGAAATGACAGTAGCTTTTCGCCATCACATGGGTATAGGAACCCCACGTCACTGTAACGATGCCTCTTTCTATTACAAGCAGGTTGCCGATAAAGCGATTGATTACTGGAGGTCTGGCCCGCCGGGAGGCCACAGACTGATCAAGAATGCCTATAGACTTGCAGATGATGAAGGTGGTGTTTATGGCGAGGGCGCTTCAGTAATCTCGTCCGGTATGAACGCGCTACGTCGGGGAGCTACCGCAAACGACTCTGGGAGAGATTTAGATGACATCCTTGAATATTTGGATCTTATGGCACGAAAGGGGGATTTGTCCGCCACATTTACTCTGGCAAAATTGTATTATGATGGATCAAGGAATCTCCCGAGGGATGTGAGGAAGGCAAAGAGGTACTTTACAAATATCGCAAAGCAATACTGGACTCGTGATGATAAAACGATTTCTGGAGGACCGCCAGGACTGGAAAGACTTGCTGGAAAGGCGGCGGGATACATTGGGAAAATGTATCTGAGGGGAGAAGGAGTTACACAGGACTTTACGCAGGCAGCAGAATGGTTTGATAGAGGAATCAAGACAGTACGTTCCTAATATCCATGTATATCGGAGTTTCTTGACTAATATTTTTCAGGGCGACGCAAGTTCACAGAATGGCCTGGGGTACATGTACCTCCATGGCTATGGCCTAAAGATAAACCGTCAAAAGGCAGCTGATTTTTTCCAGGAGGCTGCTGAGCAGGACCTTCCTCAAGCACAGGTTAATCTTGGTAAACTCTTCCTCGAACAGAACGAGCTGGAGATTGCAAAGCGCTATTTCGAGCTCGCGGCACGCCACGGAACGCTGGAATCATTCTACTACCTTGCTGAGATTTACAATGCTGGGCTCGGAGTAGAGCGTTCTTGCCTGATGGCGACTGCTTATTACAAAGTCGTTGCTGAGAGAGTTGAGGATATGCATAGTCCTATGGCATGGGCGAATAAAGCATATCATGATGGCGACAGAGAAAGCGCATTGATTGGCTATATGATGGCCGCTGAGCAAGGCTACGAGGTTGGACAAGCCAATGTTGCATATCTCCTTGACGAAGAGAAGTCAAGACTACCATTGAGGCAATTACTAGGTCCCGAGGAGCCGAAAAATCCTAGAAACCAGGAGCTAGCATTGATATATTGGACTAGATCAGCGAAGCAGCAAAACACTGATTCACTTGTAAAGATGGGAGACTATTATCTAGCTGGTATTGGGACTGAAATGGACTACGAGAAGGCTGCACAATGTTATCAGGCTGCCAGCGAACTGCAGGCCTCCGCACAAGCTTTGTGGAACCTTGGATGGATGCACGAGAACGGCATTGGAGTCGAACAGGATTTCCATCTAGCCAAGAGATACTACGATCATGCGCTGGAAACTAATCAGGAGGCATATCTACCGGTTACCCTGAGTCTGCTCAAGTTGAGGGTTAGAAGCTTTTGGAATACGATAACAGGGGGTACTATCAACGCCATTGGCGCAGACCCAGGTAATTAGTTCGCGTGTTGATTTGAAGCTCTCACCTGTTAACAGCCTTGTGTAGATCCAAAACCAAAACAACGTCCCACTCTCAGCGAATTCCTCAAGAAATGGTATGAAGCCACTCCCGATGATTACGGTGACCCAGAAGATATCTATGGTGGCAACAACGCCGGAGATGACACACTTGACACCCACGTCCCTGGTGATGAATTTTACGGCGAATTTGACGAGGACCTTATCGAGAGCGTTATCATCCTGGTACTTGCTGCCGCTGTGGCAATATTGGTGTATTATAGGCAGCTACGCCAACAAAACTTGGCAAGACGGCAGCAGGCACAACAGCAGCAGGCACAGCAAGCAGGTGTCATGCCAGGTGGTGCACCAGGAGCGGGATTCCCGCAACCGCCGGGAGCCCCTGGATTTGGTGCTTGGGGAATACCGCATTGAAGGGCATCTGATCAATATGGATGGCCAGTTTTTTCCTATTTTTCTTTTTTTCCTTTATCCTCCATCGCCCTTCCAAACTATGTTATGGTATCTGTTTTTGGTGGACCGGTGGCTTTTATATTGCGTTAGGGTTGTGGGCGCAGGCAAAATTAGGCTGTTTTGAACAATGATGGGATTGTGTATCATAGATATGTAGGCCGTCTACTGTTGTAATTTACGTGGACTGGACGACTAGTTTTTTTCTCTATTCTCTTTGTGTCATTGCGGATCTATCTTTTCTGGCTGGGAAGCAGGCGAAATTCCAGCAGCTCGGATTTCAAAAGGTCCGTTGATCAACAGCACAAGACAAATCATCTCAACTACAAGTTCGGGTATTGAAAGAGGATTCGGGATATTCGAACCCAAAGCAAGGTTGTGCATTCGAGGTTCCCAAAAAATATCAAGCCATGATCCCAAGCCTGGAGAAATAAGGGGTAGAATTCGGGTACTCGTCTATATCAACTACATCGTATATCAAAGCAAAGGGGGTGGGGGGATGTAGCCCTAGCTACTAAATAAAGCCCAGTAAGCAAGGATCACCCCGAGTGATATCCCATGCACACTAACCAACATTAACGTCATTTCACTACTACATTGCGAGCTTACCACACTGAGACTAAGGGTTTAGCAGCTGAGTATCTAGACAGAGCTACTACACATTAACTACATACAAGAAAGAAGAAGAGGAAAGGTATAGTAACTATTTGGGTTTTTGTTATAGTGGGGAGTGGGGGGGAATCGTAAGCTAGGAGGAGGGAAAGAAGCTAAGCAAGGAGAAAAGGAGATAAAAATCGACAAATGCCACCCAAGTCTAACCAGACCGAACCTTTGCGTTCACGGAACCTCTTAATACCGAACAAACTCCCAGCCGACCAGGGAAACCTATAAGTAGCACGAATAGAAACTGCACACACTTAAATCTGGGTAAGGAAAACGTAGATGCTATGTCCTCACGAACGCTGCAGAGAGTGTTAGTACCTTGGAACCTTAAGTGGGAATTAGGTAGGGGTAGGGAGAAACTCACTAGCATCAATCTGTTGGACCCTTGGTAGTGCCAACTTGACCTTATTCCTATACGTAGCAGCCGCCTCCCGTTGCAATGGGTTTCCCTCGAAGTAGACGGTTACGAGATCCTCCATGCCCGAGAGTTCCTTCTCAACTTCCTCGAATGAGGAAAGTTTATTGTTGCTTGCCCAGAGCTCCTCAATATGAGGTAGGTGTGAAAGGTTCTCGAGCTTAGAGATTTGGTTGTTTGAGATATCAAGGACACGGAGGTTTTTCTGGTGTCTGTTAGTCTTGAGTGGATCGATATATGTAGGGATGGAAGACGAACATTGTTCTCAAGTCCGGAGATCTCAGTGAGGGCGTTGTGTGAGATGTAAAATTCCTCGAGGGAAGTGAGATTCTCAAGGCCTTCGATTTTAGTAAGGCGGTTAGATTGGATAGAGAGAATTTTAAGATTAGTTAATGTTGATAGGTTCTACAGACATCATAGTTAGAAGCAGTTCTCAAAGACAGTAATTACCCATCTACCTTCAGCTCTGTAATCTTATTCTTTCCCAGCCACAACTCCTCCAATGCTGTCAAATGGTCGATATTTTCAATTTCCTGCCACATAGTCAGCATTTCTCGCCCCCAAATTGGTAGAACGCATCTCCACATACCCTAATTCTATTTGCTCCCAACTCCAGATTCCTCAACACCGTCATGCCCTCCAATCCCTCGATACGCGCAATCCTATTCTGTACAAAGTACAAGTTCTTGAGACCCGTAAGGTGGTTTATCCGCTTGATGTGCTTGATCTTGTTGAATGACAAATCCAAGTTCTCCAGCTTCGTGAGCTCCTCGAGTCCGTGGATGTGGCCGATCTTGTTATCGTAGAGATCCAGGTCTACCAGCGTCCCTCCAAGATGGCCGAGCGCTTCTATGTCGAGGATGTTGTTCTGGCGGAGGCATATTTTCTGGCAGTGACAGTAGCTATTAGGACGGTGGCAGGAGCAGTATGAAGAGGGTGGGGGTAGAAACCTGGACTTCCTTGAACCGTTCGAGCTTCAGCGCTGTGATGGACGAGATTCGGAGGTGGACGAGCTCGATATCCTACACCAGTCAGGTCAATCAGCCCCCAATTCTCCAGCAACCCTTTTCACACACTTGCATACCTCAACGTCCGGTGGATAATCGTCAAGTAAATCTAAGCGATGGCTGTCAGCAACCCGATCACTCCACACCATCAAAAAGCAAAATAATGTGCACCAACCTTCATCGTCCTCGATGACATCAACGGGAACATCCTCATCATCTGTTTCCTCGGCCTCACTCGCAACAACCGCTCTGTTGCTCTCTTTGGTGCCATTCACGGTAGCCAACGCCTTATTATCGTCGTTCCCACCATCGTTCTCGTTCTGGTTCTCAACCACGGCAGCCTCCGCTGACGGTTTGTTGTCTTCCTCAACCATTGTTTCTGATTTCTTCTTGTGGGTTTTGTTGCTGTTTGTTTTTTGCAATGGAAATACCTAGCTTCGCCTTAGAGTAGTAGCAGCTACCTAGCTTCCTGAAGGCACGGAGAGCGGGGTATCTATAGGTTCGTTTGTAATTTTTCCGTAACGTAGCCCCTCCCTTTTTCTCCGATAGAGATAGATCGCTGCAGCTGGGCGAAATTCCGACCAATCGGCTGAGGATGGTGGATTCGGTGCGTAGTAAAGTATTTCCCTGCTTTTGTTGCTGTAGGTAGTCAACTAAACTGCGGTTAATTGAGGATTCGCTGCGTTGGTCTTTCCCTCCTTTGCTGCTAGATGGATTGGGAGTGTGTTCGTTTTTTTTGCAGGTGGGGTGTGCGTGTGTGAGCAAGAGTAGAGTGAGAGGCTACCTAGGTATGTACCGATACTGGTTATAGATAGTCTCATAACGTGACCTGTCGGGGGTGTTTAGCTTTCTGCACTGTCTAGAGTATGATGATGTATCTACTGGCTTCTGCAAGGGTCTCTGCTAGGTAACTGCTACTGCTTCTGCTACTGCTTCTACTACAACTGGCTTTGTTCTACCTTCTAGACTCTCAATCCCACCCATGTTCATGTCATGTCACATCCATCCACATCTTGATCGTGTGAGTCCTAATGGTTTGGGTTTGGGCACATATGTACTTGTTCATCCTCTCGCGCTGGTCTTTCCCCCGCAAAATTGGGGGTGGGAAGGGGGGTTAAGGGCATGGATATGAGCATGGACATGGTGATGAGATCCATGTAGATTTCCTCGACCGATTCTAAACCCCACCTGCTTGTCTGCCTTCCTGCTTGCCTGCCATATGCTATATTTCCCGGGTCGTAACTATCACTACCGGGAAATAAAAGTTGTTTAGGATGAAGAGCACACTTCCATTGCCAGGCAGAGAGGAAAGAAAAACGGGTATGGTAATGTACATATGTATGTTTGTATATATTGGAGTTACACCCTCATCTACATGTAGGTACATACTTCCCACACAGCTAGATGAAGATATACATATGCGCATGGTGTTTTTTTTTTGATATACTATACCGACAATCTCTTCTCTCCCCACACGCATCTCCCCCATCCTTCCCTCCGCGCAACTTCCCCCTCGCTCAAACAGTCACCGGTACCCTCGCACCATCTCCATCCACCGCTCCCCCGTGGCTATTACGAATCCTTCCCCGGGCCCAATTCGAATCGCGGGGGAAGAAGAGGAGGGGAGGAAAAGCAAATACAAAAAAGAATACTAACCCAAAAAAGCAAAATAAGTATATAAAGCGAAAGTGGAAAAGAAAAAAAATCACAGCCTGATATCACAACATATTTTTTTCTCTCTCTCTTTCGAGGGAATGTGCAGAATATAGCCTTGAGACAAGACAACGAAGGAACGGAACGAACGAGAAAGAACCCCCCCCCCGGCCTCCCCTACCAAAAAAAAGCCACCGAGGCGACTATATCGACCCATTCTTTGACCAAATGCAAAAGAAAAAAAGTGATATCTGCTCTACTCTAGGTAGCGTATATAGGGTGCGGTATTCCCCAAAGAAAAGAAAAGATTGCGGACTAAAATGAACTGTCCGTACTGACCCCACTAAATGGAAAATGGTACGTTCAAAAACAAAAAGTCGACCATCCGCAAAAAAAAGCCCACTACCCAGTATGTCATCAAAAAAGTCAAAGCATCCACCCGCACTATTGAGAGAGATATAGGGAGAAGATTCTACACCACGGAAGCATGCAGGAGTGGTTGTAGTACTAGTAAGGTAGAGGTGTTTTGAATAGATACTACACACAATAGGTAGAGAGAAAAAAGGTAGAGTTAAAAAGGGGTTAATAAGTATGCATCCTAATAACAGGAAAAAGAGAGAGTTCAAAGAGGTATAGTGGAAAAGAAAGAAAAATGAGATACAGTAGGAAAGGTGAAGTGGGTTAGATACTAAATTCAAAACATTACAAAAGAAAAAGAAAAGAAGACGGAGAAAGAAAATGGCAGATAGCCAGCTTAGTAGGTGACTCTGCACCATGTGCTAATAGCACTGAACACGACACAAATGGGTAACAAACACAATGAAAATTGAAGACGAATGAAAAAAGGGTGATAAGATCGACAAAAAAGAAACACGGCTAGAAATAACCTCGAAAGAAAAACCACAAAAACAAAGACCCGTGCTCCTGGCAATTATGACAATCGTATGATGAAGATTCCCCCAGACGTCAGGGCCTCCTATCGCCCGTCCGTTCCTCCTAGTGGTATTTTATATTTACCAATCCTCCTCTTTCTCATGCCTTTTTATTAGAATCCCACTTTTGTTGTTGATCTGTCCAGGGCAATGCAGTGTGCAGACAGCAGAAGAAACGCCGATCACGTCGCAAGAAATACACACAAAAAGAAGTATGCGTCAACGATTTTCTAAAATTATCGCCGTGCTTAAAGTGAAACATCCAAAACCAAAGTGACATCGTTCACATCCTGTGTAGATAGATCTTCGAGAACTGGAATCAGATCGAGAAGCTCATTATCGTGAGCATCTGAGAACCAACTACTGATGGGGACGGCGTGCTGGGGGTGGAAGATATAACTGGTAGGCGAGTTATCGATGATGATAGTGTCTTTGAGATCACGACCAAGCTGAGAGAGATCCTAAAGAAAGAAAAAAATGTTAGATTATTTATATGCGCACGTGGGGGGGTGGGCGAATTGGTCCGTGCGAAATTTTACCTTAACGTAATTGCCTTGGTGGTTAAAGCAACTCTCCCTGAAAAGCCTGTGATGGACAACATGGTGAATGTCAAGCTGGTCGAGCAAAGGATCACCGTACTACAAAGATGTCAGTGGCGCCCCAAAAATAGACAAAGGGAAACAAAAAAGAAACTCACTTTCGAAACAGAAGCTGTGAATACAACGACTTCGTATAGCTCTCCGACTCTCTTCATGAACTGATCGACACCAGGTCTCTTGATAACATAGACGTTGTGATAGTTACCTTCGATTTCAACCGGGATGGTAAAATCGGCTTGATGCAATACCTGTTGTGGCAGTTAGTATCCAGGATTACGATCGGATAAACATTGCATCGGCTAGATCTCTATATTACCTTGAAACTACTATGGACCAGGGTCTCATCCAAATCCAGAACCAAGCACTTCTTTCCCTCGAACCTAGGCGCGATAGGGGGTAGTAACCACTGTTGCCTATCGTCTGCGGTAGGTGTCTCTACCAACCGGCCCGCATCTGAGTCATTGTCCGCCTCCTCGTGCTCCTCCTCGTGTTGTGGCGCTTCCGTACGCGGGGGCGGCAACTCGATGGTAATCGGTTTTCGGACTTCTTCGGTCTGGGGAATATCTGCTGCTGCCGCATCTTTCATCTCAACGTCTTCCTCCTTTTGAACGATAGGCGCCTCTGGTGCCTTTTCGGGGGATGGAGCAGGGCCTGGTTCTGATGTAGAAATGTCATCTTTCTCATTAGAAGGTCCAGTTGGGGTGGGGGCCTCAACGGTGACCGTAGGTGCATCCAACAACGGCAGCCTTCTTTCATCGCTCGCGCCGCTGGTTTCAGCCGCAGATTCATCCTTCACAATGATTTCCCTCCCAACAAGCACGTCACCATCCGTCGGCTTGATCTTGTCCCCATCCTTCTCCTCGGCAACTGGCGCATTTAGTACGACGGGAGGTACCGCAGAGCTCTCCGGCTTAGCCTCGCTTTCCCCAGATTCCGACGCGATTTTCTCGTTTATCACGGCATCCTTCGATTCGCCGATACTGCTGTCTTTTGCGGACGTTCTGGCGTCTTTCCCGACGACCGGAGTTGCTCTTCGAGAAGGTACTGAACCGGGCCTTATTTCGGCCTTGCGTGAGCCCGGGTCATTCTCCCCTGACGAACCAGCACGACAGCATAGGAACCCAAAGAACCTCCCTATTCCCCCCTGTTTTGGGTTTCGGCCCCCTGTCCCCGTGACACTGCTAGCCTTGCTTCCTCCACGTCCTCCCCTTCGCCTCTTCCGGCTGTTGGTAGAGGCTGCGTCTGCGTCTGGGTCTGCGTCGCCGGATGCGGTAACAGCGGTACTACTAGTGGAGGTAGGTGACTGTTCAGCAGTATTCTTGGTAGACGATGTCCGGGTAGGGACTGCCAACAGAGAGTTTCGCTTCTGCGATACGGAAGCGTTGTTATTAAGAGCTGAAGGGGGTACTTCAGTTCCTACTGTTGACGCCGAAGGCGGCGGCTTCGCGGTAGCAGTCAATGATGATGTATCATCGTGGGATGATGAAGGACCCGATTGAATTGATGAATTGGGGTTAGGGCTTGAGTCTACATATGGCAATATCAGTTAGCTGGTGTTGGACCAAATGAAGAAGCTTCGATCGGGAACGATGATCGGAGAGAATGTGGGGGGAAGAGATGGATGTGAGGCAAGGAAAAGCTGCGATGAGATGAGATCGGAAGGGAAAAGTGAATGGCGGGGAAAAGGGAAGGGAAGAGTGGTGGGTAAAGAGAAAAAAAAAAGGACTAGTTGACGCACCTGCTACATTATCTTGAGCTTTAGACTCATGCGCCATTGAGACGTCCCCATTCCCGTTCACAGATACTTTTTTCTCGGAATCCATCTTTTGTAATGTAAAAGTCTACCACAACACTTCGTCTAGAAGAATAGAGGGTGAAGAAGAAACGAATGAAGAGAAGAAAGGGAACGAAGAGAAGAAAGAAGAAAAAAGCAGCTTAGACTCGCGAAATGATAGGATTGTATTCACGCCCTCCCGTTGTTGTTTCCTATTTCCTTTTCCCTTCTCGCTTATCCTTGGCTGGAGATGGACCTCTCGATCTCCTCCCACGCGCAGGAAAGTAGAAGAATAAATAGAATAAACAGATTCACCCAGGCGATGGGGGGTGGGGACCTTTTTTATCTCCTAGAAACCGGAACTAAGAAGAAAGATTCTTGACGAAACAAGACCTTTGAAGTTCAGCCCCGGAGAA